CATGTAGAAACTTTTGAAACGGTGTATCTTTGGCTATGTGTATTTTCACCAAAAAAAAAGGTTGAGAAGTTAGATGGTTAATATGTTGTGGGGTTGTTAACCAATGTCATAAAACAGTATATGTACTACTGTTTCATGAGAAACTATTTGTTCTGTAAGCCTTCACCTGAAGTACAATAAAATATAAAAAAAGAAAGAAAAAGATTAGATAACCCTAAATTACAGGCTGATTATGTAATCTGATTTTCTTCAATGCTATGGTATCTTGCCACTATGCTTAGAAAACCACTCTCCCTTTTTATGAAGAATCAATGAATAAGTTCTGCTTCATTCATCCTTAAACACTATTTGAACATGCGAGAATATTAAAGTGAAAATGGCATTTTATGGACCAGATTTTTCATTATTTTAGAATATTATAATGACCTAAAATAGCCATGTGTCAATATTCCGTTTTTCTTTCAAAGGGGAGAAAGTTGATACCAGTAAACTTGACAGTGTTTTGGAAAACTTGGGGATTGAGCTCACACATAATGAACGCATGAACTTGCTGAAGACACTGCCAATTAATGGTAAGACTTACGGACACCATCAGGACCTTTTAGGAACTCTGGTTTTATGGAACTATGTGAAAATTCTAAAATAATCTTAAAATGGTTAAAAACTGCTAAAAATCTAACGCTAATACCAAAAAAGTGCCATCATTTAGACCTTGGTTTAAAAATCTATAACCTTTCACCTGTAAGTTGCTATCAAGCGCAAAGTTTATTTCTTAACCCTCCAGTTGTTGATAAGCTGGATTTGTAAAAATAGATAAAAAATTAAAAATAAAAGGAACAGGAAAGAAGAGGGTGGAGGGAGAGTAACAGGAGTAGACAAAAGATAAAAAGATACTAAATAAAGTAGCTGTGTGTGTTTCTTCTGAATAGAACATATAGTTTATCAAAAAGTGGTAATTTTGTACATTTCTTAACTTCATTATTAAATGAAATAAAACAAAAAAATCAGAAAAAGTAAAAATTGTTTTAATTCCATAACCCAAAGATAACCATTATTAATAATGTGGTGCATTTCCTTCCAATGCTTTTATGAAAGATACGTAGGTAGGTAGAAAGGAAGGAAGATAGATAGATAGACAGACAGATAGATAGATATAGATAGCATACTTATGTGTATATAAATTTATAACTTATCTGTTCACAACATAATGTGTATAGTCATCATAGAAAATCTTGACAATGTAGATAAGCAAAAATGAAACTATCTCTATTCCCACTTCAAGTGATAACTACTGTCAAAAACTTGAAATTTTTATTTCTAGATCTTTGTCTATGAGTATACGTACTTTTTTATTTGGAAATCTTGCAGATAAATCTTTGCAAACATCCTTAAATGCCCTGAGATTAAATTCCTTTAAGTAGAGTTGCAAGATAGAAGATGTTATCTATTTTGCCAAATTTCCTTCCAGAAAAGTTATTGTAATTTGAACTCCCATCAACAGCATATGAAAATTTTATTTTCTCAGTATGGGGTGTCTGTGGGGGTGGTGACGTCTCATTGTTATGTTTTGCTTTTCATTGATGTACCACTGAGAGTGAACATTTTTGTATGTCTGTTATCTGTTTGCATTGGAAGTCTTCCTAAGGCAAAGATTTTTAAATCTTTTCTGAAATTAAAAGTTTAAGATCTTTCTGAATTGATTTTCATAATGTCCCATATTTTATAGATGATGAAAAAGTGCATCAGAAAAGGTTGATGAAAGGCATAAAATCTCTCAAACGTGAGTAAGAAGCACAATGAAAAGGCTTACTATGAGACCCTTATTTGTACTGTTAAAACATGAATTCTCTCTCTTTTACTACATAATTGAGTCCTTGTTTATGCTTCCTTCAGTACGTCTGCATTTTACCTAATCGTTTCCTGTACTGCAGAAAGTTTTAGCCTTTTTTGGATTTTTCCTAACTCTGCCTCAAAGGAACAATAACCTGAAAATAAAAAGTAAAAGGTGAAGTATGAAGGCTGTAGATAAGAATTCCAGTCAAAAGCAGAGACAAATAATTTGAAAGTACAGGCAACAAAAATAAATCCTGTTTTGGGCCATCTCTAGCTCTAGCTTTTCAACCCTTTTTAAGAATATTTTTCTCTGTAGGCTTGTTCCCAACATAAGATTTGAATCAACAGGTTCTAATTCTCCTATTGCCTTTCTCTAGACAAGACTAGAGTTTTGGTGTTTGTCTTAAAAATCTTAACAATGATACTAAGAAATGAATGAATTGTTTTTTATTGTAATAGAAACACCTGCTCAATAAAGAATAAAGCACTACTATGAGTATGCTGTCCAGTTTTAGAATCATTCAGTTTTTCTCATATTCCTTTCGTGTCTCTTAGAAGGGAATGTTGATGTCGATAAACTGGATACATTTTTAGAAAACATGGGGGTCAAGGTCACAGAAAAAGAATTCATGGATCTGACAAAAAGACTGCCAGATGATGGTGAGCACTATAATCACCTCTGTAATTTTTAAGAGGTACTTAGTATTATAGACTTGAAAATGAGAGTTTCTCAAACAAGACTGTCTAAATGTCAAATATTTTTCAAAAGCTTAGAGAAGAGCTCAGTCTTAAAGTAAAAATAAATTCCATTATCTTTATTTCCATGAATCTAATGTCTGATTTCCTCTCTGGCTACCAAGCATTGCAGAAAATGAAGCCAAGACTTTGTTAAGCCAAAGAATGATCAGGAAGAAGTACTCAAAATGGAAAGAGACAGTTTACAATGAAGGGGATTCACTTCAAAATTATTTCTCCCAAAGTCTCTGTCTCCCACATTCACCACGCTATTAAAAGATGCTCTCACTTAGCTGACCAGTGACATCCTAATAGGCAAATCTAATGGACACCCCTCATCTCTTTCGTAGGCTTTCTGATGCCTCTAATAATGTTAATTTCTTTCTTTTATTGCAACTCTCTATATTCTCAACTGCCATAAATTCATACTCTCCAGAATTATCTTCTTATCTGTCTTTCCTAAGCACATTTATTTTATGGGCTTCTATTCCTTCCCTTAAATCAATGGGTTAAGGGAATGAGACCAACCCATATTTTTTAATGAAATTGAATGGATTAGGATAGAATAGAATAGAAGATATCAGAACATTTGTCATACAGTAAGACTAGATATTGTTTCATGAAACCTTATGGTCAATTGTGTGTGTGTGTGTTTGTGTGTGTACACAGAGTTCTTAGTGTGGCTTATAATAAAAATTTGAGAAAAACACTACCTTAAATTACAGTAATATAATAGTTCTGTTCTCAGCCTATTCTTTCCACCGTCACAGTCTGCCTGGACTTACCCCTATATGTTTGAAATTTCAAATTTTTAATCTTAAATCTAGACTTATCCTATGAGTTTTAGTCCAATACACTGAAGACTTTTTATCTAACAAGTAGTTGGTCAGATAATCTAAAAATCCGGTTAAAGTAAAGAATCGTTAAAATGATATATACATACTTTAAATATATTACTTTAATGAAAAAAAGATAGGCCAAGGCCATTTCATTTAATATAGGGATGCTCTTTGGAGATTTTCTTGCATTAACATATCCATTTATCATCTATGCTGCTAATTTCATCTTTTTGAAGATGAGCTGAAGTCAGAGTGTCAAAAAGCAGAGCAAAGTGCAGTCTAAAAAGTTGAGCAGAGATTTCAGTCAAAATCCACCTAGATTTTAATTACTTCTTGAATATTTTTATAGTTGTCTCATCCCCACCAAATTCAGTGGAACTCTTTAGCAATTTACCTTTACCAAAACTTCCTCATCATTCAAATTTGTTTTTGTAGGAAATACTCTATTTTCCATTTATAGTTCATCAGTTTATATAATGATTAAGTTATCACAAATGTAATTATAAATACACTTATAAACGTGTCTGAGGACAAACACAACAATTCAACCAGTCAATAAGAACATAAATGCACTTGCTTGCTAAAAGTGTAGCTTGCTAGCTGTGAAAGTTTGGTATTCCATTAGCATCAGTCTGAATGTTCTATGGAGAATGAAGCTCAGACCAGCAAGGTAGCTAAATGGAGGTCACTTAAGAGATCTTCTCCTACACCAACAAATATCTGTTGAGATATCTTCACTTAGTTTTTTTCATATATAAAAAGTGAACTATTTTACAACAGAACCAACTGAAATAAAAAGGTCATAACAGAATACTATGAAAAATTGTACTGCAACAAATTTGAAAACCTAGAGTAAATGGACAAATTTCTAGAAACACACTACCTACCTAAACTAACACAAACTGAAGTAGAAAGTCTGAACAAACCCATAACAAAAGAAGAAATTGATGAGGAAATAAAAAAATCCTAACTAAAAAAAGCCCTGGCCCGGATGTATTCACTGGAGAATTATGCCAAACATTCAGAGAAGAGCTCATGTCAATACTACAAAATGTTTCAGAGCATAGGAAAGTAAGGAATTCTTCTCATTCTGTAAAGCCAGCATAACCCTGATACCAAAGCTAGGCAAAGACACCACCAAAAAAGAAAATTACAGACCAATATCCCTCATGAATATAGATGCAAAAATCTCAACAAAATTCTAGCCAATAGAATTCAACAACATATTAAAAATAATAATACATCATGACCAAGTGGGATTCATACCAGGTATGCAAGAATGGTTCAACATTAGAAAATGAACCAATGCAGTCCACCACATAAATAAAAGAACCGCGTGATCATCTCAATTGATGCAGAAAAGGCATTTGATAAAATCCAACGCCCATTCCTGATAAAAAACTCTCAGCAAAATAGGAAGAGAAAGGAAATTACTCAGTATAATAAAGGGCATCTACACAAAACCAACAGCTAACATTATTCTCAATGGAGAAAGACTGAAAATATTCCCATTGATAATGGGAACTCGACAAGGATGCCCTATATTACCATTCCTATTCTACATTGTACTGGCAGTCCTAGCTAGAGCAATTAGGCAAGAAAAGGAAATAAAGGGCATTCAAATTGGCAAGGAAGAAGTAAAACTATCCCTATTTGCAGATAATGTGATCCTATACATAGAAAATCCCATAGACTCCACAAGAAAACTACTGTAACTAATAAGATTCAGCAAAGTAGTGTACAAGATCAGCATACAAAAATCAGTCAGATTCCTCTGCACCAACAAAGAGAGCTTCCAAAAGGAAATCAGGAAAAAAATATCACTTACAATAGCCCCCCAAAAATAAAATACTTAGCAATAAATCTAACCAAGGATGTAAAAGACTTATACAAAGAAAACTACAAAACACTACTGCAAGAAACCAAAAAGACCTATATAAATGGAAAAACGTACCATGTTCATGGATAGGAAGGAAGACTTAACATTGTGAAAAGGTCGATACTACCCAACGTGATCTATAGATACAGTGCAATCCCAATCCAAATTCCAACAGCATTCTTTAACAAGATGGAAAAACTAGTTACAAACTTCATATGGAAAGGAAAGAGGCTATGAATAAGTAAAGCATTACTGAAGAAGAACATCAAAGTAGGAGGCCTCACAGTTCCTAATCTCAGAATCTACTACACAGCCGCAGTAGTAAAAACAGCCTGGTACTGATACAATGACAGACACATAGTCTAATGGGACAGAATTGAGAACTCAGACGTAAATCCATCCACCTGTGGACAGCTTATCTTCGACAAAGGGCCAAAGTCCATTAAATGAGAAAAAGACAGTCTCTTTAACAAATGGTTGTGGCAAAACCGGATATCTGTGGAAAAAATGAAACAGGATCCATACCTTACACCATACATAAAAACTAACTCAAAATGGATCAAAGACCTAAATATAAAAGCTACAACTATAAAGATAATGGAAGAAAAAGTAGGGACAACCATAGGGGCCCTAATACATAGTATAAATAGTGTACCAACCATAACCAAAAATGCACAAACAGCAGAAGATAAACTGGATGAGTGGAACCTCCTAAAAATTAAACACTTATGCTCATCAAAAGATTTCTCCAAAATAGTAAAAAGAGAACCTACAGACTGGGGAAAAAATTTTGGCTACAGCACGTCCAACAACGGGTTAATCTCTAAAATATATAGAAAACTTCAACACTTCAACAACAAAAAGACAAATAATCCAACTGAAAAATGATCAAAGGACATGAACAGACACTTCATCAAAGAAGACATTCAAGCAGCTAGGCTAACAAACACCTGAGGAAATGCTCGTGATCATTAGCCATTAGAGAAATGCAAATCAAAACTACAGTGAGGTACCATCTCACGCTGACATTACTGGCACAAATCAAAAAAACAAAATAACAAATGTTGGAGAGGTTGCTGGGTGATTGGAACTCTTATGCACTGCTGGTGGGAATGTAAAATGACACAACGACTTTGAAAAATGAGATATGGTGCTTCCTTAAAAAGCTAGAAATAGAAATACAATACGATCCAGCAATCCCACTTCTAGGAATATATCCTAGAGAAATAAGAGCTGTCGCACGAATAGACATATACGCACCCATGTTCATGGCAGCACTATTCACAATAGCAAAAAGATGAAAACAACCTAAGTGCCCACCAACAGATGAATGGATAAAGTATGGTACATACACACAATGGAATACTACACAATGATAAAGAACAATGATGAATCTGCAAAACATCTCACAACATGGATGAATCTGGAGGACATTATGCTGAGTGAAATAATTCAATCACAAAAGAACAAATATTGTATGAGACCACTATTATAAAAGCTCAAGAAAAGGTTTACACACAGAAAGAAACAATCTTTGATGGTTACGAGGGAGGGGAGGGATAGGGAAGGGAAATCACTAACTAGATAGTAGATAAGTGGTAACTTTGGTGAAGAGACAGTACACATTATAGGGGAAGTCAGCACAATGTGACCAAGGCAAAGTCATAGAAATCTCATAAACACATCCAAACACCCTGAGGGACCAAGTTACTGGGCTGAGGGCTGGGGACTGTAGTCTTGGGGGACATCTAGCTCAATTGGCAGTTCATAAAGAAAATGTTCTACATCCAACTTTGGTGAGTGGTGACTGGGGTCTTAAAAGCTTGCAAGCAGCTATCTAAAAAACATCTACTGGTCCCATCCCATCCAAAGCAAAGGAGAATGAAGAAAACCAAAGATACAGGGGAAATGTTAGTTCAAAGGACTAATGGACCACAAGTATCATAGCCTCCACCAGCCTCAGCTCAGAACAACTAGATGGTGCCCGGCTACCACCACCACCCACTCTGACAGGGATATCGCAATAGAGGGTCCCGGGCAGAGTAGGAGAAAAATGTAGAACAAAATTCAAATACACAAAAAAAGACCAGACTTACTGATCTGATAGAGACTGGAGGAACCCTGAGACTACAGCCCCCGCACACCGTTTTAACTCAGAACTGAAATCTCTCCTGAAGTTCACCCTTCAGCCAAAGATTACACAGGTGTATAAACCAAACTATAACACATGTGAGGAACATGCTTCTTAGTTGAATCAAGCATACGAGACCAAATGGGCAACACCTGCCCAAAAGCAAAGACAAGAAGGCAGGAAGGGTCCGGAAAACTGCAGGAATGGACACAGGAACCTGCGGCGGAAAGGGAAGGGATAGCGTGCTGCCGCGATGCAGGGATGGCAACCAGTGTCACAAAACAATTTGGTATAAATTTTTGAATGAGAAACTAATTTGTTCTGTAAACTTTCACCTAAAACACAATAAAAAATATATATATATCCGAACTCTATCTCTGTCTATCTTTGCTATGCTACCCTTAATTCAGTTCCTCATCATCCCTGGCTTAGATTACTATGTTGTTGTTAGGTGCCATCAAGTCAGTTCTGACTCATAGCAACCCTGTGTACAACAGAACAAAACACTGCCCCATCCTGCACCATCCTCACAATAGTTGTGCTTGAGCCCATTGTTGTAGCCACTGTGTCAGTCCATCTCGTTGAGACTCTTCCTCTTTTTCACTGACCCTCTGCTTTACGAAGCATGATGTCCTTCGCCAGGGACTGATCCCTCCTGATAACATGTCCAAAGTATATGAGACATAGTCTCACCATCCTTGCTTCTAAGGAGCATTCTGGTTGTACTTCTTCCAAAACAGATTTGTTCATTCTTTTGGTAGTCCATGGTATATTCAATATTCTTAGCCAACACCACAATTCAAAGGCATCAATTCTTCTTTAATCTTCCTTATTCATTGTCCAGCTGTCCAGCTTTCACATGCATATGAGACATATGCTTATATGTTACTATAGATTACTGTAGTAACCTCCTATAATATAATCTGTCAACTATATTGTTGCCTTAAATTCATGCTTCACAAAGGAGCCAAGATGATTTAGCTAAAGTGAGAATCTGATCTTATTATTCTTCAACTTAAAACCTTCAATTTCAATATAAGCTTCAATTACTCCTTGTAGCTTAAAAACGGCTTATATATATTATGTATTACTATATGCCAGGCGTGGTGCTAACTTACCTGGCATATTAGCTTGAAGTTTTATCCCTATTATCCCCATTTTATAGATGAGAAATGTGGGTTAGAGAAGTTAAATAACTTATCCAAGTTACACAACTACCAAGTAGTAGGGTCAGAACTTAACCCAGGCATCCAAAGTCAGAGTCCAAACTGTTTACCGTTGCGGGTCACTACTCTGACTTCAGCTAGCCCTTTTGACTCATCTTTCTACCCCCTACATGGCATTTTCCCTCAAGCAACATTTAATAGCTTTATTTCACCACACACTGTGCTCTTCTTCGCTCCTTTCTCTGGAATTTGTCTTTCTTCATGATAGAAACTAACATAATATCACTAACAATTACTTTAAATCTGTACCAGTCATGTGTTATCAGCCTTTCCAAGAGAAATATGAAGTTAGAAACAGAATGAATCCAAAAGCCTTGAGAAAACTCTTCTTTAATTTTTTTTATTGTACTTCAGATGAAGGTTTACAGAACAAATAGTTTCTCATTAAATGGTACATGTATTGTTTTATGACAATGGTTAACAACCCCACGACATGTCAACACTGTCCCTTCTCAACCTTGGGTTCCCTATTACCAACTTTTCTGTCCCTTCCTGCCTTCTAGTTCTTGTCCCTGGACTGTTGTGCCCCATTAGTCTCGTTTTGTTTCAGGGGGCTGTCTAATCTTTGGCTCAACAGTGAACCTCAGGAGTTACTTCGTTACTGAGCTAAAAGGGTATCTGGGGTCCATACTCTCGGGGTTTCTGCAGTCTGTCAGGCCAATAAGTCTGGTCTTTTTTGTGAGTTAGAATTTTGTTCTACATTTTTCTCCAGCTCTGTTCGAGACCCTCTGTTGTGATCTGGGTCAGAGCAGTCAGTGGTGGTAGCTGGGCACCATCTAGCTGTACTGGACTCAGTCTGGTCGAGGTCATGGTAGTTGTAGTCTATTAGTCCTTTGGACTAATCTTTTCCTTGTATCTTGTTTTCTTCATTGTCCCTTGCTCCCGAAGGGGTGAGACCAATGGAGTATCTTAGATGGCTGCTCACAGGCTTTTAAGACCCCAGACACTACTCACCAAGGTGGAACGTAGAACATTTTTGGGAAAACATTTTACCTAAAATAGACTTCACTGTTCAAGCAATCTGGATAGCATATAATGGGACTATTCTTTAAAGTCCAAGAATTAAAAATTTTAAAAGGACACGATATAGTGAATAGTCTTTGGCTAGGCTCTACTTCATAATTTAAGTACTTTATATTTTTTTCTGAGTTTGGCGTTATTGGTGTCTGAATTTTGCCTTGTCTTATAGGTAGAGGGAAAGTCAAACTAAATAAGTTGATGGAAGAATTGGATGCTGTTTTAGGTAAGTGAGAAATTTCTTGTTTTTTATATTATTATTGTGGTAAATAATAGGTAACAAAACATTTGTCATTTCAACAATCTTCACATGTACAACTCAGTGACATTAATTACATTCATTATGTTATTCAACCATCATCCTTAACTGTTCCCAGATTTTCTCATCACCCTTAACAGAAGCTTAGTGTCCCTTAAATATTGTGTCTTCCTTTCCCCCTACCTCCCACCCACCACTGGTAACCACTAATAAACTTTGGTCTCTATACACTTGCATATTCTAGATATTTCATTTAAGTGGTGTTATACAATATTTGTCCTTTTGTGACTGACTTATTTCACTCAGCATAATGTTTTCAGTATTCACCCATGTTGTAGTATGTATCAGAACTTCATTTCTCTTTATGGCTGAGTAGTATTCCCTTGCATGTTTGTACCACATTTTGTTTATCCATTCATCTGTTGATGGACGTTTAGTCTATTTCCACCTTTTGGCCATTGTGAATAGTGCTGTAATGAACATTGGTGTACAAGTATGTGCTTGTAAGAAATTATTTAATTATTTAAACTATGTTTTAGTGATATTTTCTACTATTTCTTCCTTTCCTCATTAATTTTAGCAGTGTAGCCTTTTGTTAATTACACATTTTTATCTAATTGCTTTGAATTACCTATGGTTGAGCAATAAACAGAGGTGCTAAGTCTGCACAAGACAGAGGAAAACTCAAAATTTAGGTACTAAAACTATTGGTAGATATAATTATTAGGATAGGTAACCATTTCTGTCTTTTCTCTAGGAGAGCAAATAGATGTTAGTGACCTAGAAAATATTCTGAGAGATATGAAAATGGAGGTCACAGATAACGACTACTTCGATTTAGTAAAAGCTCTTCCAGTAGATGGTAAGAATTTAAAATATGTATGTATCCTTCAGGGGCTTTAAAGTGCTTGACTGTGAGATTTTCTTCTAAAATGATACCAAATTGTTATCAGGTTTTTTTTTAATCATTTTTTAAATTAAAACTCATTGCCATCGAGTCAATTCCAACGCATAGCAATCTTATAGGGCAGAGTAGAACTGCCCCCATAGGGTTTCCAAGGAGCGGCTGGTGTATTTGAACTGCCAGTGTTTTGGTTAGCAGCTGAACACTTAACCTCTATGCCACGAGGGCTCCTCAATTTTTGCTAAAGAACTATCTGGGTCATTTAATTTTTACTTTGCTAATCAATAACTATTTCAGTTATCATTCCTGCCAATAAGGCTAAGAAATGTGTACTGTTGTCTTTGATTCCACTAAAATGCCTGAGAATAAGTAGGAAGCTGTAAAATTGGAAGACTAAAAGGTGTAAGGAGTGAGGGGAAAGTCGGAGATAAAAATAAATCAGATGGGATATATGTTTCATAAGTTTTAAGCTAATAAAAAATCATTGCCTTTTGTGCAACAATGAGCATATTTGCTTCATTAAAGTCTTTCTCCAAACAAACCTCTTGTTGTTATTTGAATGCAAATTAGGTAAATTTCAGAGCAAATCATTTAAAAAGTCTATATTTTTGAAATTATTAGATTAGGGGAAGATTTTTATTGTTCAGGTGAATCTCCAAATTGTTTTTCTCTGACCTGAATTATGCCTTGTCTTACAGCTGAAGGCAAGGTGTATCAAAAAAGGCTGCTGGATGGTGTGAAGACTCTTAAAAGTGAGTGAGAAGTATGATGACAAAACACATAAATCTGAGAAATTCTCCAATTTTTCATTTATACTAGTTCTTTTTTATTAAATTGAAAACCCCTTATGTATATATTCCCAATATTTAAGGATATGTTCGATATATTATGCCATAATTCCTTGGAAAATTACCCAGCTGTGTAGATATGAACAAAAGATGTAGTCAGAGGATGAGATTCTAGTTCTGATGTTGAACCTTATTATATTCTTGAATAGGTCTTACTGGACCTTATGTCTTTACAATAAAAGTGATAATCATAACACACATGAATTAATAAGGATTTTTTCAATCTTGTTGTCTTATTTTTTTCATGACACTTTGTCTCTCTTAAGGAGGAAAAGTTGATGAGAGTAACCTGGACACATTTCTGGAAACTATGGGGATTGAACTCTCACGTAAAGAACTCGAAGATTTTTCGCAAAACCTACCAGTTGATGGTAAGCACCATAGATAAAAATGTATGCCCTTTAGGACAGGTTGGGATTGAGAGCATTCATAGACCAATGATAGTACTTATTTGGTATCAGTAAGGTATTTTGAAAAGCCAATAGCAGAATTCAGGTCTCAAGTGAAAGTAAATTCTGTCTCTTTATTAATCCAAGAACAGCAATATCTTCCACTGTAAATAATGACAATTGGTGAAAGTGCTAGGAGACCATTCTCAGGTCAAAGAATGAAGATGGACAAGTAAGATAGAATGAGATTTAAAAGAAACAGAAAACAATAAGAGAGAAAAAGAGAATTGCCCATGATAATGAAAGATTAAAATTGACTAATGATTGTTTTCAGTATGTGTGCTTCAGCTGTTCTGAAATAAACAGCAAGTTTAAAAGGGGATAAAGAGAAACACATTGGGAGTTTTAAAAAGGGATATAATTACAGAGAGTGAGCATGATCTTACTATTTCAATAAGGTATCATGTATAACAATGAGATTGATGTTTTAAATATATTAATAAAATGGAAACTTTTCCGGGGGAAAAAAATAAATTTCCAATATTGATTCAAGAAAGTGTGAAAAATATGAATAGACCAATAATGAGAGTTAGAAAAAAACTATTAAATAATTATACCTATCAACTCTCTACCACCACCTATTACTCTAACAAAAGATGATAGGCCCAGGTAGTTTTATGAGTAAGTTCTTTCAAATCTTAAAGGAACTATTCTTTTTTTTTTTTTTTTTTTAAGGAACTATTCATTCTAATGCTATCTAAACTTGTACTCCAGTTTAAAATGACGAAAAAAAAATCTGTCTAGTTTTTCCTTCCTTCAGTACCTATCAAAGTAAACAACGTCAAAAACAAAAAAGTTAAAAATCAACAAAGGAAATTTGACATCAATCAAACAATAAAAGGGGATCAGCCTAAAGCCATAAATGTCTAAAGAGGACAGCCAAGGAATTTCAATTTCTGCAAAAATGCCAGATAGGATTTTGATAAGGAATCGTGTTGAATTTACAGATCAATTTAGGGGATATTGCCATCTTAACAGTATTAAGTTTTCTGATCCATCATCATAGGATGTATTAAAATTTTCCACTATCATTTTGAATTTGTCTGTTTCTCATTGTAATTTTGAAGTTTTTCTTTATATATTTTGAGGCCATGTTATTAGGTGTATACAAATTTAGAATTATTGCATCTTCCCAATAAACATCCTTTCATTATCTCTAGAAGTGCTGTTTTCTTAAAGCCTATTTGGTTTGATGTTACTGTAACAATACTACTTTACTTTTGGTTAGTGTTTTCATGGTATATCTCTGTTCATCCTTTTACTTTCAACCTCTCTGACTCCTTATATTCAGATATTTTAAATTCTTAAGTTTTAGAGTCCTAGATCATTTCCTTGGTGAATTTTACCTAGCATTTAAGTAAGAAATAATGCCCATCTTATTCAACTGGGGGCTCTGGTGGTGCAGTGGTTAAGAGCTATTTCTGCTAAACAAGAAGTCAGCAGTTCAAATCCACCAGCTGCTCCTTGGAAACCCTATGGAGCAGTTCCACTCTGTCCTACAGGGTCACAATGAATGGGAATCAATTCAACAGCAACAGGTTTGGGTTTTTCTCTTTCCCCCCTCAATTGTTCAAAGAACAGAAAAACAAAAACATTTCCCAGTTTATTTATGAGACTAGCATAATCTTGATAACAAAACTTGAGAAAGACAACACAAGAAAAGGAAAATCGTGGGCTAATACCTCTCATGAATATAGATGTAAAAACCCTAAACAAAATGTTAGCAATATTAATCTATCATTTATATTATTCATTATTAGTAGTAATTATGGAATTACTGACATTTGTTTTTAAATCTATGTTACTCAGTTTCTCTATTTATGCACCTGTTCAGTATTCTGCTTATTTTTATTCTTACCTTCCTTTTGGAGTGATTACTTTTAACTGTTTTTCTCTGTTAGTTTGGAACTTTTAGAGCTTACCCTAGAAATTACAAAATGCATCCTTAATTTATCATAGTCCAATGTTATACTGAACTTTTACCATCATCCAAGACAAAACAAGATTCTTACAATATTTTAACTCTATTTATTCTCTTCCCAACTTATTATTTTCATTTTATACAATCAGTTTTCCTTTAGAATTACCTACATATTCTCATTTCTTTTCATTCATCCTGGATTGAAAGGGCCCACTGAGTGCAAAGCAGGATGAATTCTTTTTCAGCCTATGCTTAAAAACATTCTTGTAAAATTTCATAACATCAAGGACACAGAAAATTATAAATACTTAATAAAAGAATAAACAGACTACCCACAAAATAATCAAACAGTCTGATTTACATTAACAACATTGGATTCAGGAAGAAATGGAATAATACTAACTTCAAAGTGCTAGAGAAAAATAACCTTGAACACACAGCTAACATGGTATTCAAAAATAGGAGTAAAATAGACATTCGCAGACATACAAGAACACACTTTATTAGCTACAGACCTCTCTAAATGGATTAATAGAAGATATATTCTAACAAAAAGAAAAATGAATGCAAGAGGAAGTAGTGGGATGCAAGAAGCATTGTGGAGGAAAGAACTTAAAAGAATTTATTGTTATATCTAAATAAATATTTATTGTAAAAATTTTTAGTAACACTCTGGAGCCAAAATTCAAGGTGAAATCAACATTCTAGTTGGGAGCAGGTATCATAGGTGGGCAAAGCAGAAGTCTCACTGTTGGTCTGTGCCTGCTCTGTGTTTTGCAGTTGAAGGGAAGATTGATCTGAAGAACATAATAGCGAGAATGAAAGATTTTACAGGTGAGTTTCTATAACACTAGAACCCTAACGCTTTACAGTAAAATATATTTTAGATGCTCTTTTCCCAGTAGCCTATCATTGATATTAATTTTTCCCGGCTATTGTAAAATATTTCTGCGTGATAAAATCCATTTGACCTTGGATTATGTATGCTTTAAAAATAAAACACAAGACTTAGTCTTAAGAACAAGTCCTATGTACTGTAGAGATACTTTTTCACTTGTATGTGTCTTTTTGCCTACACCTGAACAGCTAGATTTCAGGTGAGTGCATTAATAAACAAGGTAAAGTTCTGGAAAGCTCAAGATAATGTGATCTTTGTGATTACATAAATCAGTGTAATATCTCCTGCTGGAATGACTTCTATTACCAATTCATTATCCAATTTGGTAACTAAATTTCATTCTGCACATTATCCCCAACATTAGGAGAGCTTTCTTTATGGTAATATCATAGGAACAAGATTTGCTTTGACTTCTGTAATTGTTGTTGTTGTTGTTAGGTGCCGTCAAGTCAATTCCGACTCATAGTGACCCTATAGGACAGAGTAGAACTGCCCCATAGAGTTTCCAAGGAGTGGCTGGTGGATTTGAACTGCTGACTTTTGTTTAGCAGTCAAGCTCTTAACCACTACGCCACCAGGGCTCTGACTTCTCTATTAACCCACTGTATTTGCACATGTTTCATTTTGCCTTTGCTCTTTAACCCCAAATTGGTAGTGTTGCTATATAAGCTATTTTAAGTATAAACAAATATATATCATCATATCTAATATAGGTTAATAACATGTTCTTATGAATCTCTTCAAAATATTGAGTTATTAATTTCTGAGTTCTCACCTATAAACACTGTCTTTTCAAAGGAGAGAAAATTGATGTCAGTGATCTGAAAAATGTTCTTGGAGACATGGGGATAGAAGTCAATGATAAGGAATGCCTAGAAATGCAGAAATTACTGCCAATTGATGGTGAGCTGCATATGTGTTATTGTGACCTCCGGGGGGGTTTAGTTGTATGGGTCTACTCTTGAAATTTATATTTTAAAGTAACACATGTTCAGATGTTACCTGCACCCATCCTCCAACTCTTATTTCCATATGAACAGTCTATTGCTTGCTCTCTATCATTCTGCACCCCCCAAAAGAATCCTCTTCCACAAAATCATTGTAGAGGAATAAAGATGCTACTGGTTATTTTTGCAAGGGAGTGGAAAGAAAGGGATTTACATCTGATATCTCTCAGTCAACAGTCCTCATGAGAAATTCCTGTTTTCTCCTTTTCCATATATTTCCACTGGGTATTACCTTCTCCTGACCCTTACCCCTCACAGTGATAAACCCTGAAAACTCCTCCCTCTATATGCCTTGATTTCTGAAAGGATGTCAACTTTCTCTCCCCTCTCTATTACAAATATTTTTTCTTCCTTTAAACACAAAGACTCAACATCTACCCAAAGCGAGCTTATAAAAGCACCTTCTCAACAATGGCCTATCTCTCAGTACAAGGAACTCTTAGACTAGCGGCTAGAAAATTAAATTTTTCTATACTGTTAGACCAGTTTGGGAATTAGCAAAACCTTCAATCAGGAGCTTTGCCATCAAGGACTAAGCAAATCCCTACTGTTCCCCTTACACTATAAATAGGTCAGACTGTAGGAGTAATAAGTAAAGGAAGATGGAAAGAAGTAAAGTAATAGAAATGTGATAGAAATAAGGCATGAGAGGAGTTGAAAATAGAAAAGGAAAAGATGAGTATGTGAGTTTCAACTCTGAAACATATAAACCAACAGTTCCCTTGGATGTCAGAAAATACATAGATCTATTAAAAAATAACCCTAATGATGTGCCAGGTACTTTCCTCACCACACACAATAATGACACATTATCCCCATTTTACAGTGCAGAAAATTGAGGCGCAGAAAGGGTAATTTGCCCAAGGCCACTAAGCTAGTAAGTAGTGGAGAAAGAATTTGAACACAAACTCTTAGACTCTGCACTAGACTCCCTTTCTATACCATAATGGGAGCTTTCTTTGTTGCTTAACTTTATCATGGTTTGAAGGTGAAGGAGAATAGATTTCTAAGGTCAGTCACACAAAGGAAGGTCTGAATCTTATATTCTCTTTGTGAGTCATTCTCTGTCCTGAACTGTGCCTTTTCTTACAGGTGATAAAAAAGTATTTCTGAATAGATTGCTAACAGGTTTGAAGTCCTTCAAAGGTGGGTAGTAAATGTGATAAGAAAATATATCAGATTGAGATTCTCATTCTTTGCACTTATATTTTTCCCTGCTATATGTTGACCTTATAGTCACTTTTCTCTTTAGATGTATCCGCATTTTATCAGAGATTCTCTCATGTTGTATCTCGGAATTTATTTCCATAGTCTCTCAGGTTTTTCTAAGATCTTTTTAAAAAGAAAGGAAATCTTAGTCTGCAGTAGTGATGAAAGTCATTCAGAGAATTTGATCAGTAGAAAAGAAAACTAATCTGGGAATTCAAGCAACATAGTTAAACTTATTCAATAATTAAAAATATTACATTAGGGAGTTCCGGCAAAATACCGCTCTAGGCAGAAGCACCACCCTGTCCCTCCACAGCAAAGATCTGAAAAACTAAGCCGAATAGAGAATACAACAATCCTGAAACCCTAAAACATCAAATGAAGAGATAAAGAGCTCAGCCAAGCACCAAACGGAGTGAGAAAACTGACAGAGA